GTACTGTATGGACTGCCTGGACGACGACGCTACGCTCGAGATCACGGGCTCGCGACCAACTGTGAGCAAGCGCCGGAGCTTCTCGTCGACCACATCGTTCGCTCCCAATAACACGCCGCAAGTGACGAATGTAAGTGCGATCTGGACCAAGTTGAAGTGGGTGTTTACCAGGTGTTTTCTTTATTCTAACTGTCGCTCGGATGTTTTTTATTTGATTGATAGTTGACTAGCACAGCCAAGTTTTGCATCGAATGCGGTTATGAGTTGCCACCTCGAGTCAAATTTTGTATTGAATGCGGCACATCGGTGCGGCAACAGCTCATGTCGCCCGTGAGTGTGGATGGTGTGGGCACAGAAGTGGATCGAGGCAATCGAGGATTCCGAGACTCGTTGGGGTCGAATCTCATGGTCATCGACGAGCACAGCGGATCTCCCACGGAACCAACGGATGGATCGGAGGATGACGCTCCTACAGAACAAGAACCGGAGGAAACTATACCTTTGGAGAAGAAAGTGGAAGTGGAAACCCCGGAAACTGACGACGTTGAAGCGAAAGCAAAGGAGTTCGAGGAGCTTGTGGCGCAGTTGCAGGCTGAGAATGAAAAGCTACGTAATCGTGTGGAGAAGTTTAAGCGCAAAGCCACTGAGGCGGAGCGTCGTCGACTGGAAAGGGAGGAGGAACATGCTCGTGCCGTGTCAGAGGCTACGGCGGCTGCAGCTGCGGCTGCAACTGCTGCCGCCGAAGTGCAGGCGAATAACCGTAGTGCATCAGAACCAACAACCCAAGCGCCTGCGGATACAGCGACTACTAGCAATGGAACGGGTGTCGCTGCGAAGGATCATCCGGACTACTTGAAGTTCTTCAAGTTGTTAACTATGGGACTTCCAGCGGAGCAGGTGAAGATGAAAATGCAAGCTTCAGGTGTCGATCCGTCGATCCTTGATGATCCAGATGCAATTATCGGAGGCGCTGCTTCGAGTACAGACAACGCGTCAACACCTACAGCATCAGGTGGTACATTGGTGAAGGATGATGAGCAGTACGCTAAGTTTTTCAAACTTTTGAAGATGGGGATGCCCTCTGAGCAGATCAAGCTGAAGATGAGCGCGAGTGGCCTGAATCCGGACCTTCTTGATACTCCGGATGCGCCG